GTTGACAGGGGGGCAGTGGTCGACCCCGAGGCGCCTTGCTTATGGGGTGCCACAAGGGTTGGTCCTCTCGCCCCTTCTGTTCAACATTTATGTAAAGCCGCTGGGTGAGATCATCCGTTGCTTCGGGGTGGAGTTCCATCAGTACGCTGACGACACCCAGCTGTACATCTCCACCCCAGGCCACCCCAACGATGCCCTTGAAGTGATGTCCCAGTGCCTGGAGGCTATGCGGGCCTGGATGGGGAGAAACAGGCTCCGACTCAACCCTTCCAAGACCAAGTGGCTGTGGCTTCCGGTGTCCCGATATAGCCAGCTGGTGCCATCGCTGGCTATTGGGGGCGAATCACTGGCCCCCACGGAGAGGGCTCACAACTTGGGCGTCCTCCTGGATGCACGGCTGTCTTTAGAAGAGCACTTGACGGCCGTGACCGGGAGGATTTTTCATCAGGTTCGCCTGATACGCCAGTTGCGTCCCTTTCTAGATCGGGACTCCCTACACACGGTCACTCAGGCACTCGTCACCTCCCACCTGGACTACTGCAATGCTCTCTACATGGAGCTCCCCCTGGGGTGCACCCGGAGGCTCCAGCTGGTCTAGAATGCAGCCGCGCGGGGGATTATGGGAGCAACGGGGCGCTCCCATGTGACACCTCTCCTGCGTGAGCTGCACTGGCTCCCGATGGTCTTCCGGGTGTGCTTCAAGGTGTTGGTGACCACCTTTAAAGCGCTCCACGGCTTAGGGCCGGGGTATTTACGAGACCGCTTTCTGCCTCCAATAGCCTCCCACCGGCCAGTACGCTCGCACAGAGGGCCTCCTCAGGGTGCCGTCCACCAAACAGTGGTGGCGCCCGCCCTCTGGAACAACCTCCCCCCAGAGATACATACAATACCAGACCTCCGGACTTTTCGTCGGGCCCTAAAAACGTATTTATTTCACCTAGCTGGGCTGGCTTGACCCCATAGTTTTGGTTAATTTTAAATTGATTTTAATTGGGTTTGTTTTAAATTGCGGCCAAAAATATTTAATTATTTTAAATTGTTTTTTAAATTTTGTATGTTCTGTTTTATTCTGACTGTTCACCGCCCTGAGTCCTGTTGGAGAAGGGCGGTATACAAATTAAAACAAATAAATAAATAAATAAAATTAGGCTGGAGATGTTAACCATGCTCAAAATATTGGCTGGGCGTCTCATATTCATTGCAGCAGCCACAATGCGAGGAGCTGCTCCTTTGGTACTCGCCCCCCCCCAAATTGTCAGCAGCTGCGCCACTTTCTCCAGGGAAGCGGCCGCATCCCAAACGCATCCTTTCGCAGCCCCTTCACAGGTCCCCCCTGTTCTGCCCCCCAGATTGATGCCCCCTCCCCTGACTCATCCGCCTCCAGGGCTTGCACCAGGATGGGCAGGCCCATCATGCCGGTGGCACCAAAAAATGGTTATTTTCTTGCAGGTTGCAACAGCTAGGCCACGTGGCTTCCCTTCATGCCATTGCCTTCTCACTGCTCCAGCCTAGGGCCAAAGCAAGCCCCTCTGCCTGGAGCTCCGCCCAGGGATGCAGGGCCAGTGGAAGGCGGCATTTTGCCACTTTGGTTCCCCCGGTGGACAGAGCGCCTGTGAGGGGCAGCCAAGGCCAGTCGTTTGGGGTCGCAGCAGAACGAGCAACCAAAGCCCGTCTCCGCCGGCGTGCCTGCCTCTCCCCTCCCCCTTTTCAGAAGAGCCATTTGCTGGCCTTCGGCGCCCAATGGAAGTGCCGGATGGCTATTTTGAAAGGTGCGGGAGCGGTTTATGCAAGCCGCAGGATAAGCCTGAGCCTCCTTGATCGGGGCGCCTTCCTGGGAATTGCTGCCTGGCCTGGGTGTTTGGAAAAACAGTACACTGCTGGAAGTGGGGAGGAGGAGGAGGAGGGGCCTTACCCAGAGGCCAGCCAGCAGATAAAAGCTGCAAGGCTTTGCCTTAGTTCTTTTGGGTGAGCTGTTCCTGTGTGGCTCTTGGGTCGCTCCCCAAACTGGCCTGGAAGCAGCGTGTCACCTTGCGCGTGTCCTTGTCCTCCTCCCGCCCAGCCGTCGGCTCCTTGATGCGAGCAGAGGCTGCTGGTTGGAGCGAGGGGAACTGCAGTGCTAGGCTGCTGCGGCTGCGAGTGCCAAGGAAATTGGCGTGGTGGGCTCAGTTACTGGTGAGAGCAGCTGCTGCCTCGCTCGCGCCTTCTCATCCAAACTGCCGGGTGTTGCTCCGGTTCTTTCTGCCACAGCCACACAGCCTTTTCTTCCAATTCTAGCTATGCCTTGGCACTTGCAGCCGTGGCAGCCCAGCACTGCAGTTCCCCTTGCTCCAACCAGCAGGCTCTGCTCCTGTCAAGGAGCCAGCAGCTAGGCGGGAGGAGGTCAAGGATGTGCTGCTTCCAGACCAGTCCAGCTGGTGGATGGGTGAACAGGCAGCCCTCAAGGAAGAGCGCTGCACTGGGTGACACATCTCCTGGTCGTGGGCTGGATGCGGGGCCCGAGGTGGAGGGGAAGGCGAGAGTGCGGCGGGCACCTGGAGGCCCCACGGAAGCCAAGAGGCAGGCCCGAAAGGTGGCTGAGGCTTGCTGTCCACAACCCCCCCTGAGGGTGCCTTCAGCCTTGCACGGTGGGTCCAGAGCGGATTTCCCTCCCCCGCTGTTGGCCTTACTTTCCAGTTCCAGCCCATGGGGCTCGCAAAGCTCTGGTCACAGCAGCTGCCCACGAAAGTAAGGCTTCACTCAGCCGAAGGGCGTGGTCCAGCGGGGAAGTCAGCTGGCAGAGGAGCAATGCAGGCAGCGCAGCCTCGTGCTCCCTGAGTACTGGCAGCTGCAGCAGGTGAGGCCCAGCAGCTGCGGAGAGTCTGGGCTGGGGGAGGGATGAACGACAATGGCTCACCTTCCTCTCTATCACCAGCCATGGGAGAAAGGGGAGGTGGGGATCAGGGGTCATGGCCAGCTGGGAAAACCGAACTGCTGCCCAGCCCAGAGCAACAAAAGGCAGCTGAGCCTCGCCTAGCGCAGTGGGCCCGGAGCAGATTTCCCTCCTCTACAATTGGCCTAACCTTCCAGTTGCAGCCCACTGGGCTCGCACCACTCTGCTCACCACAGCTGCCCACCAATTAAGTCTTCTTGGCCAAAGGTCAGGGGCCGGGGGGTGGGCAGGGTTATGTGGGAAGGGCAGCCTCATGGTGCAGCGTGGGCTCGAATTGCTTCAGGCCATATCCGGCCCGCGGACCGTAGTTTGAGGATCCCTGGACTAAGGAATCCCAGGCTTGTTCCTGCTTGGCCAATTGTAGTCTGTGTTGATTGCCTCAGTTGTTGCATATATTTATTTTCTTTAAGCAGAATGTGTACATACACAGATTTAAGCAGGGTTTTTAAAGATGCAATTAGACCTTTGTGATGCGTTCTGCGTAGGGTTGTAACTGCTACTATTCACCACCATGTGGCCAAATTGAAGGTTATCAGACTTGCAAATACATTTTTGCATTGTTAATGGACAGACAATTCATATTTTAAAATCCCAATACAAATTTTTAGCTGTTGTGCGTGAAGAGAGTACTTGTGGAATTTTGAGAGCCATCAGTGATGTTCGTTTGCAAAGTAGTGGCTGTGATGAGTGTTTTGAAATGAAAACATCCATAAGGAAACTATTTGTCAGACCCCTAAAAGTGATACTGCCATTCAATTGGGAGAAGGGGGCCCCTGGATTTATTGGCATTTTTCTGTGTCAACACATATCCTGGTGCCGAAGTGCCCTGAGATCTCCTTACCTTTGGGGAATGTTTATGATGGCCATGTAGGTTGTTTCACTTTAAAGGATAACGGAGGATAGCAATAGGAATGCATACTTATCCAGTTCTCAGGGCAGCTGATAAAGAAAACATCTTCACACTTGTGTATTGGCTAAAATCTGCATTCTGGCTAATGGGAGGGGTCTCTACTGCTTTAATCCTACTTGTCTTGCCTAAGGGTATTCAGATCTTGCTTTGAATCCATTGCTGTCACTTCTACTTAATAAAAGGTTCCTTTTGAAATACTACGTTTCAAGAGTTTTCACTTTCTTAAGTTAGAGGAAGAGGCAATCCTTACACTATTAATATGTCATTTTTCTACCACTAACCCCTCTCCCAATTTTGCCTCTTTTTTCTTGCTCAAGTGCAATCATTTATAAATGGCAGTGAGCAGCATTTTTTCTAAGAATGCCTATATAACTATAAGAATTTTTCTGAATAGAGATAGAAGCTGGTTTTTATTTGAAATTCAGCTTTTATTTTTTAAAAATTACTACTTTAGGAAAAAAGGAGTTGCCGAGTGCAGAGAATAGTATCTATAGGTGTCCTGGTATGCTATAGTTGGTTGAAGTACACACAAAAAAAATGACAGTCTGAAGTTTCCAGAGCTGTTCTGTATGATTATTATATGAAAGATGAATGTGGCCAACCAATCCTCAGTTCTGTCAAAAAGAAGAACTTCAGAATCAGAATAGACCTGATTCACATTTGATTCTTCTCAAATCTTTGGCAGTTAATGTGCATCTTTTTTTCTCAACATGTTTCTTGCAACCCTGTTGACTATTTGCAACAAAACATTTGATGGTTCTGTGATCATGTCCCAATATCTTAGCAATTTCAAGAGTGCTGCATCCCTCTGAAAGACTATTTTTGACTTCAGAGTCAGTTAAATCTCCTTTTTTGGCTCATTTTGCCTGAGGAAAAGAAACTGCCTAATAATTATGCACACCTTGATAAAGGGTCTTGATCTCACCTGATATGCTTATATCCACTAAGCATTTGGCTTTATACAGCTTGGAGGTGGAAAATATACATGAAAATAATGATATAGTCAAAATACTCATTTGCCTAATAATTGTGCACACAGTGTATTTTATTGGAATATCAATTGCATAGGCTTTTCCCGTTTCTGAACTCTGTCTGTAGAGAAATTGTAAAATACAAATTTAAAAGGCTTTGTACAATCCAGGGGTCTATCAGATTAATTTCTTTATATGTCTTCCAGTAAAAGGTAAAAGTAAAGGTTCCCCTTATGCATATGTGCTAGTCATTCCCAACTCTAGGGGGCGGTGCTCATCTCCGTTTCAAAACCGAAGAACCAGCGCTGTGCGAAGATGTCTCCGTGGTCGTGGGAGGCATGACTAAACGCCAAAGGCACATGGAACGCTGTTACCTTCCCACCAAAGGTGGTCCCTATTTTTCTACTTGCATTTTTTAAATGCTTTCGAACTGCTAGGTTGGCAGAAGCTGGGACAAGTAACGGAAGCTCACCCTGTTATGTGGCACTAGGGATTCGAACCACTGAATCCCTGATGACCTTTGGATCGAGAAGCTCAGTGTCTTAGCCACTGAGCCACCGCATCCATGTGTTCCAGTAGTACCAGTTTATTTCCTTCTCCAGAATAATTGTTCATTTACTGGCCTTCCAAAGGTAATAGTCACAGATTCCATCAATAAAATGGAAGGCAGAGCAAAAAACAGAAATGCCAGTAGAATGCTTTGTAAATTACCACCTAGCATAAGATTGTGAGTATAGTTAGGATTGTGGTCAGTTTTCTAATGCCAAACATTCCATCATTCTCTACTTTATCATACAAGAGATCTGCAGAAATTGCACCTCATTAATATATGGTAATAAGTCTCAGTTTCAGTGGATAAAATATAACTCTGATTACAGCAACTAACAAGTATAGTGGTCCAAACAATTTCTGTCTTGAAATTCTCTGCACTACAGCTTTCTCCAGGTTTCTTAGATTTTGACACCTCAAGCTTCTCCTACACCTACTTCAAAAAATAACTTTCTAAGTGTTCTACCACAGAGACTTAGCAAAGTGTCAGCTGAATAACTTTCTGAAATTGGTATGACCAGATTTTTTCTTCATTGGTATCCTGCAGAGGATAGTTAGTATGGATTTTCTGAGAAAGAGAACCATCTAATTAATCTGGCTTTCCGCCCTCCATTAAAGGACACTAAAGAAAGTATATAATGGACACTAAGGAAAGTGTGGCAAGGATAGTGCTATCATACAGCAATTGAAATTTCCATTCCATAAACGTAATTTCCCTTTTGTTTCAGAAGTATCTCATTCCACTTTATTTTTATGAGACCAGTAATGCTCCATATTCTTTTCCTATTCTTCTCTTAATTTCGAGTTGTGAAGGCTGAAACAGTTTGCTTAATTCAGAATTTATGTGTCAGAAGCATTAACAGACATATTATAGTTTTTTGAAACTTATTTTCCTCACTTTCTGTAAATTCCTGTTTATAGAATGTTCCTGGTTCATGCTTTCTCCCATGCTGTAATACTAGCCATTATAATCACTGTGATGGCAGAAGAAAAGACGTGTGACCTTCTTGGGGAACGGGAACAAGAATCCTCAAAAGAACTAGCATTGATGAACAGACTGAAGCCACTTTTCAATCAAAGGTACAGTGTCAATAAATTTCAGATCAAACAAATAAGACTAGGCAATGTTGCACTCCTTTGAATGACAGAAGTAGAAAGCATTGTAGTGAGTAAGAAAATATGCTGAATTGATATTGCCAGTAGAATGCTTTCTAATGCTCTAATTAATAGAGATCGATATTAATCATAATTTCAACTTTGAGGAAAAAATTGCTTTTAGAAATCTGTAACATCACCATACCCAAGATTCTGGTTTTCATGAGGCTATTGAAAATAAAGGTTATTTATTTATTTATTTATTTATTTATTTATTTATTTATTTATTTTTATTTATTTATTTATTTATTTATTTATTTATTTATTTATTTATTTATTTATTTATTTATTTATTTATTTATTTATTTATTTATTTATTTTGTCGCATTTCTATGCTGCCCAACTCCCAAGGGACTCTTGGGAGTCTTTATGTAACCTCCTTAGGTGTTATCCTGTCTTTATGTAACCTCTTTATGTGTTATATACATGTCATGCTAATTTTAATCCTTTCTCAGTGTTTCCACACTTCTCAGATACCAAATCTGAAAAAAATATTTAAAGGAAATTTATGCAAGTAACATATTTTATATTTTAATATACAGTGCATTCAGAAGATATTCAGACCCCCTTTACTTTTGTAATTTTGTTATGTTGCAACCTGATTCTACAGTTATTGAAATTCATTTTTTTCCTCATTAATCTACACTCAGAACCCCATAATGACAAAGTGAAAACAGAAAACAATTTTAGAAATGTCTTTAAATTTATTAAAAAGAAAAAATTGAAATATCACATTGGCATAAGTATTCAGACCCTTTACTCACTACTTTGTTGAAGTACCTATGGCAGTAATTGCAGCCTCAAGTCTTTTTGGGTATGACATGATAAGCATTGCACACCTTGATTGAGGAGGGATTTTCTGCCATTCTTTCTTGCAAATCCTCTCAAGCTCAGTCAGGTTGGATGGCAACCGTTGGTGGACAGCCATTTTTAGGTCCCTCCAGAGATGTTCAATAGGGTTCAAGTCTGGGCTCTGGCTGGGCCACACTAGGACATTCACAAGTTGAAGCTAAGCCACTCCTGTCTGGTCTTGGCTATGTGCTTAGGATTGTTGTCATGTTGGAAAGTGAACCTTTGGCCCAGTCTGAGGTCCTGAGTGCTGTGGGCCAGGTTTACATTGAGGATATCCCTGTACTTTGCTACATTCCACTTTCCCTCAGCCTTGACCAGTCTCCCAGTCCATGCTGCTGAAAAACACCCACACAGCATGATGCTACCACCACCATGCTTCATTGTTGGGATGATATTGGGTAGGTGATGACAGGTGCCTGGTTTCCTCCAGATATAATGTTTAGAATTGAGGCCAAAGAGTTCAATCTTGGTTTCATCAGACCAGAGAATCTTGTTCTTCACAGTCTTCACACGAGAGTCCTTCAGGTGCTGTTTTGCGAACTCCAAGTGGGCTTTCATATATTTTGCACTGAGGAGAGGCTTCCATCTAGCCACTCTGCCATAAAGCCCAGATGGGTGGAGGGCTGCAGTAATGGTTGTTCTTCTGGAATTCTGTCCCATCTCCACACAGGATCTCTGGAGCTCAGTCAGAGTGACCATCGGGTTCTTGGTCACCTTTCTTACTAAAGCCCTTCTCCCCCGATTGCTATGTTTGACTGGGTGGCCAGCTCTTGAAAGAGTCCTGTTTGTGCCAAACTTCTTCCATTTGAGAATTATGGAGGCTGCTGTGCTCTTAGGACCTTTCAGTGCAGCAGAAATTTTATTGTAGCCTTCCCCAGATCTATGCCTTGCAATAATTCTGTCTCTGAGCTCTCCAGGCAGTTCCTTTGACCTCATGGTTTTTGCTCTGTTACAGTACACATTGTCAACTGTGAGACCTTCTATAGAGTGTGTGCTTTTTCAAATCATGTCCAATCAATTACATTTACCACAGGTTGACTTCAGTCAAGGTATAGAAACATGTCGGTAACGATCAGGAGAAATGGGAGGCATGGGAGCTAAGTTTCAAGTGTTGTTGCAAAGGGGCTGAATACTTATGCCAATGTGATATATCAGTTTTTTATTTTTAATAAATTTACAGACATTTCTAAAATTCTATTTTTACTTTGTCATGAGGTACTGAATGTAGATTAATGAGAAAAAAATGAATTTCAACAACTGTAGAATCAGAATCGAATCAAATCGAATAGACTAGACTAGAATAGAATAGAATTCTTTATTGGCCAAGTATGATTGGACACACAAAGAATTTGTCTTTGGTGTATATGCTCTCAGTGTACATAAAGAGAATAAAATACATTCATCAAGAATAAAAAGATACAACAGTTAGTGATAGTCAAGGTTACTAATAAGCTATCAAATTGTAGTAGGAAACAAAAACAATATAAATTGAAAGATACAAGAAACATGGTTATAGTAGTAAGTGGAAAGAGATAGATACTAGTAAGGAAGAGAAGAATAATAGTAATACAGTCTTAGTAAATTATTTGATAGTATTGTGGGAATTAATTGTTAAGCATATTGATGGCATTCGGGAAAAAACTGTCCTTGTGTCTAGTTGTTCTGGTGTGCAGTGCTCTATAGCGTCGTTTTGAGGGTAGAAGTTGAAACAATTTATGTCCAGGATGTGAGGGGTCTGTAGATATTTTCATAGCCCTCTTTTTGACTGGTGCAGTATACAGATCCTCAATGGAAGGCAGATTGGTACCCAAAATAAGGCATCCCCTGATAATAAGGCCAATCGGGCTTTTGAGCACATGGCAATAAGGCCAAGTGCTTATTTCAGGGTTCAAAAAAATATAAGACAGGGTCTTATTTTTGGGGAAACACGGTAGCAATTTTGTCTGCAGTTCTAATTATCTGTTGAAGTCTGTGTCTGTCTTGTTGGGTTGCAGAATCAAACCAGACAGTTATGGAGGTGCAGATGACAGACTCAATAATTCCTCTGTGGAACTGGATCAGCAGCTCTTTGGGCAGTTTGAGCTTTCTGAGTTGGCGCAGAAAGAACATTCTTTGTTGAGCTTCTTTGATGACGTTTTTGATGTTAGGTGTCTATTTTAAGTCTTGAGATATGATAGAACCTAGAAACTTGAAGGACTACTGATGATACTGTGTTGTCTAGTATTGTAAAGAGGTAGTAGTATAGGAGGTTTTCTTCTAAAATCCACCATCATTTCTACGGTTTTGAGTGCATTTAGTTCAAGATTTTTCTCCTTGCACCACAAGGCTAGTTGTTCAACCTCCCGTTTGTATGCAGATTCATTGTTCAAAATTGACAAAAGTGAAGGGGGTTGAATACTTTCTGAATGCACTGTAGTTCAAGATTTCATGTTTCTCATTTGATCTAGAAGGAGAGATGATGCTCTTTTTGTAATGAAGTTTGATTCACAGTGTTAATTGTATTCTGGCTATTAATTATTCCTTCATTTGAGAGGTAAAGATAAAATTAGCATTATAAGAAATATACCAGGCAAATATTGCTAGCTTTCTTACTGTTTTTATTTTCGTATATAGGTCCTTCCATGTCAAGTGGTCTGCAGCTCCCAGCTCGACCATTACGGACTTTGATGAAATTTGGTGTGAACATGCACACACGTCCCCAATGAATATTGATAAAGTATTACATTTGCCGATGCAGTACTTGCAGAGATATAGTCATTTGTATGACCCTATACTGCAGCCTTCGACAGTATGACTCTGAGGTTTCAGCAAATTTGAGACACAATATCTCGGGCAATATTTTGTTGAAGGAAACAAAACTTGGCCATCTTGTACAACTTGTTGTGCTCTATTAAACAAAATAATAAAAACATTCTCATGAGTGATCTCCATCTAGATAATTTGGAGCAAAGTTGGCCGAAAATGACTGCGACGTGGAAAAAGGGTAAAGTTTGGCTTCTTATATCTCTGGAAGGAAAGGTATGAGAAACGTGAAACCTTGTGCATAATAACTTAGCAACACAAGGTTGTTGAATATAAAATTTCATTCTACTACTGCTTTCCAAAAGTTCACAAATTGAGTGTAAAGGTGATGGTTTTTGTAAAAACGCCAAAAATAGGGTATTTTCAGCCCGCTTTTACGAAAAAAGACCTTCTGGAAACTCTTAAATCATTCTCATTTAAAGAGCATGTTTCAAACCCCCGTCCGGTTCCCAAGCCGGCAATTGGGCATCTCATCTTAGGTTCCCAAGCCTAAAGTGGGTATCTTATATGGTTCCCTAGTCAAAGTCTGTACTGTTTGTATGAACTGCCAAATTCCAATGATTTATTATTGAATTTACACACGTTCTTTAGTGTTGCTTCTGGGAATTGATACTGTCAACCTGACGATGTAACTGAAGGTCGACATTAGCAGTTCCCAGAAGCAACGCTAAACCATACAAGGTAGAAACCAAACTACAGGCTTGGGATCCTGAACCAAGAAATCCACCCTTGGCTGGTATTGCATGGCTATCAAGCATGCCCCCTATGGCAATGAGGTTGCTGGGTCAAGTGCTTGAACTGGTAGTGACAATGTCACCATGGACCAACGCAATATAATAGTAGTAATGATGTCTATATAAAACAAACAAGATGAAACAATAATAGAATGCATGTGATGCTGCCATAGCAACGTCCTCAACTTTGTCCCTATTTTTAGGGCTTTATAACGTCAGCAATGAAACACCAACCCTATTTTTTTAGGGGGGTTGAAACATTTCTTTCTAATGAGAATGATTTAACAGTTTTCAGGTCTTTTTTTGTAAAAGCAGGCTAAAAATACCCTATTTTTGGCATTTTTACGAAAACCATCACCTTTACACTCAATTTGTGAACTATTGGAAAGCAGTAGGAAAATGAAATTTTATATTCGACAAGGTTGTGTTGCTAAGTTATTACGCACAAGGTTTCACGTTTCTCATACCTTTCCTTCTAGAGATGTAAGAAGCCAAACATTTTCGGCCAAATTTGCTCCAAATTATCTAGATGGAGATCGCACATGATAATGTTTTTATTATTTTGTTTAATAGAGCACAAGAAGTTCTACAAGATGGCCAAGTTTTGTTTCTCTCAACAAAATATTGCCGGAGATATTATGTCTCAAAGTTGCTGAAACCTCAGTCATACTGTCGAAGGCTGCGGTATGGGGTCATATAAATGACTATATCTCCACAAGTATTGCATTGGCAAACGTAACACTATCAATGCTCATTGGGATGTGTGTGCATGTTCACACCAAATTTCATCAAAATCTGTAATGGTTCAGCTGGGCACTTTTCTGAAATCAGACCACTTGATATGGAATGACCCATATTGGTCTAAATGTGGTTGTAAATGTATAAATGAGGGTAAACTGTGTAAATGTGGGTGCTAGTTTTCAAAAATAGTCTGGACAACAATTTGATTGGAATCATATATAAGGCTCCTATCTTGAGCAGGGGATTGGACTAGAAGACCTCTGAGGTCACATTCAGTCCTGATTCTATATAATATGTTCTAAATTGGCATTTCTTTGCAGTTTTGAAACAGAAAGCAAGAATGATGAGGGCCACTACATTTACAGACTGAGGATATGTCGGGAAGTCTTCAGCAATATGACCAATTCTGGCCTGGTGCAGATCAGTAAGATAAACAACAAACAAAAAGTAATAGGACGAATCAATGAGACCCATCTTGCAAATGGAAGTAAGACATAATTTTGAACAGATCTATTGAGCATCCTTATAATTATACTCATGCCTCATTGAATCTCTTATATTTCTAATTTGGCAGCTAGCTGGATTATGCTGATATATCAGAGTGGCGATCCCTATGATAGACATTGTACACAGGAAGACAGGAAAGCTTTAGTAATGATTATCTGCAACCGAACAACATTAGCAGTGAGTATAAGAACGGGGGCAGTAAAAATGAATTATGTTAAAAAAAACTAGTACATAACTCAGCCGTTACCATACTATTTGCAGTATTGGTTACATGCTACATAACATCAGAACTGAAGTTGATTGGGAAAAGAAAGGCTATGCATTTCATATGAAAATTACATATGAAAATTATATATTACATATCAAATTACAGCGTGTACTGTAAGATATAATACTGAGAGCATTAAGTAAGAAAAAGGCACATCATAGAGACTATATTAGAACTTTTTAGTAATGCCTTAGCCTAGGGAAATGGAAACTGCAGCTCTCTATATAGTGCTGAACTACCTCTTGGTAGTTTCAGTCCACATGCCATGTGTATGAATCAGGGCACAATAGGATTGTGAAAATTGTGGGGCACCCTGTTGCTGAATATCTTGAGTGGAGGGGGCAGTTGAACATTGATTAGTATGACATTAGACTCTTACCATTTCTAAACAGACTGGCTTCACCATGGTGGCAGAAGAGAAGGAGAAGATAAAGCAATGTTCCTATGTTTTTGAGTTAGAGAGCAGCTTGGCTTGTCCTCCGGAAGAATTGCACCAAAATGTGCACCATCACCTCAGTATTGGCTCTATACTGCTAATCACGTAAGTTGATTTGAAATAATAGTTCTTTTCTGAGTTAAACAGCTTCCAACAACTTACCATAATAATTTTAAGGGTGGAAAAGCATTCAAAATCAAACCATTTTAAAATAGCAACTTGGCATCATAAAACTAATTAAGTCAGTGGTTCTTAACCTTCCTAATGCCGCGACCCTTTAATACAGTTCCTCATGTTGTGGTGACCCCTAACCAGGGGTGGGTTCTAAATTTTTTTACTACCGGTTCTGTGGGCGTGGTTTGTTTTGTGGGCGTGGCTTGGAGGTTATATGACTGGGTGGGCGTGGCTAGCTGGTCATGTGACCGGGTGGCCATGGCTATGTGTATAGGGACTACTCAGAGGGCTGAAAAAAGTCATTTCTGACAGGTCCTCGCATTTTTGACTGGTCCTCACACTTATGACCATCCTCACATTTATGCCCGTGCAGCATTCTTAACAACCATGTCACTCATTTCACAACTGCTTCTTTTTTTTTTTATTATTGAAAAAGTTTTCAAATACAAATTTCCCCCCTTTTTTTTCCCCCTCTCCCTCCCCCTCCCTAACCCCCCCTCCCCACCCATCCCCCCCTGTGACTTCTTCATAACAAAAAAAAACCCTAATTCATAACAGCTTACTTACTCCCTCCTCTAGATATTGACCTTTACTTACTAAAAATATTATTAATATTATAACATCCCCCTTTATCCATACATTTCAGAAAAGAGAAAAGAAAGGAAAAAAAAAAAAGACATTATACTATGACATTATAGAATAACTTCTCCACTTTAAAACTATACGATAAGTCCTACTTTAACATTTAATCTTCTATATATATTACTATAACATTTCAAAGCGGCCTTCCCCATAAAATCTAGTTAACATTTATTCCACTCTATCCATTTCCTCCACTCCCCTAAATATATCACTTAAAAATCCCTTTTCTTAGACTAATCAATCTACTAACTAGCTTATTCACCCACTATCATGCAAAATTACCATACACAACATTTCTTAATATCTTTGATTCACTGCCCACACTACTTAAAAATATATGTCTATATTTTCCATTATATCTAAATAAAAAAAAAGAAAAGACAATGACTTTAAATTTATAATCCATATAGTATCTTCTTTGAGGTCTTTCCACTGGATTGGTAGAACCAACATCCATAATCGGGTAACATAGCTTGCTGGTGCAACAGTTTATTCAGGATCTTCAATCATATCTGCCCCCATCAGTAGTAAATATCTTCTTATATGTATAAAAGTAAAAACAACCACCCGAGTGACATTATAATTATATTCCATATAGTAATAATTGTGGGTTTCATCAGGATTATTAACTCCCATCATCGTAGTGGGTAACAACCCGATCTTCTGCATGCCCCAGCATAATTCTCTTGCCTTGTGATTCAAGATAATATAATATGTTTATCAACACAAAAAGAAATTCCAAAATGGATAATTCAAATCCATCAGTTTAAGGCTCGTTTCACGTCCCCAGATTACGGCCATGCAGAGATCTGCCACAATCCTCAGGATGATATTAACCAATACGTCGCCTCTTGTGTGTTTACACATAATCATTCATATTTTAAAGTCACTGGCTTCACTGTTGCCTGATTTAGAAATTTCTATTTTTATGCCACCTATTTCTTTTTTTCTTTTCTTTTTGTGGGTTTGGTTTCCATCCTGGTTTCCTTTCTACAAATTGTGTATCATCTGGTCGGTTTTTATTCTGCTTTGTAGATTGGTCTTGTTGGTTTTGTTTTTGTATCTCATGTTTCTTTTTTATCCCTTGTATATCCCCTAATTGGTTTCCATGCTTATCCTTGCCTTGATAAGTCATCACATTAAGGTTAGATGCCACTTCTCTCAAATTTGTAGATAGTCCAGCTGGGGTATCCAATAAATCCAAAGGCAATTCATCTGGTACAGTCTCTGTAATTCGATATTTTACCTTTATTTCTGGCTCCTTCTGCTTATCCTGTATTATACCTGAAGATGTTAAGTTCATTTTCAACCTATTTTGATAAAATTCTTCCGCTCTTTCAACAGTATTTAGCTGATATCTTTCTCCTTGGTATCTAAATATAATACCAACTGGGGCGTCCCACCTGAATGGGATATTTCTCTTTTTTAACTCATTCACCAGAAAACCAAATTTCTTCCTTTCCATCAATATCTTAGGTGGGAGTTCCTTGTAAATCCAAATCTTTCTTCCATACAATTGCAAATTAGAATTGAAGGAATTTTGCACGATATTATTCCTAATTTCTTTATCTGTAAAATAAATCACCACATCTCTAGGCAATTGCCTTTGCTTGGCAATCCAGGAGTTAATTCGATAAACTCTGTCAATCCTACAAAACACTTCGTCAGGTTGAACCTTTAGAATCCCAGCTAGAAATTCAGAAGATATTTTCCTTAAATCATCTCTATTATTTTCCTGCAAACCTCTTAATCTTATCGCATATTCTGTGAAATTATATTGTACCATTAAAATCTCTTTTTCAATCTTCTGTTGCAGATTTTCTGCATTACCATACTTTTGATCAGCATCCATTTTAGGTTTTTCTTCTAAGCTATTATCCTGAGTGTTTGTCAAATCATTTTCAATTTTTTGAATTCTATTGTCCAATTTATCTTGAATTTCTTCCATTTTAGACTCTAGTACATTAGTATTTGTGTCCAACTGTATCATAAATTCTGTAAAACCATTAGCCACTTTTGAGAATTTTTTCTCCAAAGAATCAAACTTGGATTTCACCAATTCTTTAATTTCCTGCTTAAATTTTTCAAGTTGCTGATTCACAATCTCCTCCCTTCTTTCAATCTCCTCTATAAAAAATTCTATTATATTAAAATCAGGTTTCTGAGACTGAAGAATTAAGACTTGTTCCTTTAAGTTATTGGTGGGGGAATCCCCCCCCTTCTTGTTTATCTGACTTTATGAGTCTCAGTGCCATGTTTCCGCCCAGGCAGGCTTTGTTAAAAAAAAAGCAAGAAAGAAAAAAAAAAGGACTTCTTTCCAATCAACAACAATATCAAGTCTCCAAGGGAAGAAAAAGAGAAAAAGACACAGGAGCGAAGTTTTGTCTACAAATGTAGCCAGTGGTATTTATTCCGCTACATTGTGGTAATAGAAAACGGAAGGACTTTCCCTTTCAGCCTCTCCTCCAGCCGACGCCATTTTAAAAGGCTTTTTTTCCTCTTTCTTTTCCTCCTCTCTCTTAAGTAATTTTTTAAAAAAATCAGTAAAATACTTGCGGTTCAGTATTACAGGTCCAGCTCACATTTTCTTTGAGTAGTCTGTTAAATTTGCAGGCTTGCTTTTGACGCCTGGCTCTGCATCAGCAGAGGTCTCCCAAAGCCCGGAGCAGCGGCTGGGGATACGGGGCATCTCATCCGCTCCGTCCCAAAAGTAAAGGAAAAACTTTTGGGACTCCGCAGAGAGTTCTACCCACCCCTGCCGGCTCTATCTCCGTTTCCTCATGGAAACGGAGTTTTTTCGAGCCGCCATTCCGTTGTGAAGGCGGCTCTGACAGGCGATGGAAGCTGACGATCCCAAAGGAACGTCTGGCAGCGACAAACAGCAAACCGGAAGTCCCACAACTGCTTCTTTTCACCATGGTGACAAGATAGGCCAAAAACATAAAATGAGAGTACAGTCATAAGTTTGAGGACTGGTCAAAAGTGCGAGGACCAGTCAAAAATAACTTTTTCAGCCCTCTGAGTAGTCCATATGCATAAAAGGATACAGCAATAGAGAGGGATGAAGGAAGGGAAGGGAAATTAGAGTAGGAGTGAGGGTAAGAGAGGGAGGAAAAGAGGAGGAGAAGTAGAAAGGAAGAGGAAGTAGGGAGGAGAAGAGTGGGGAAAGGAAAGGAAAGAGAGAGGTGGTAGGTTTGAGGAGAAAGATTGCTGTACAATAAAAAAGATGAATGGGAAGAAAGCCAACCCCAAACAAATATAAAGATATTAAGATAAAGAATGAATTGTTAAACTTTAAAGAATAAAAAAGAACAAATATGAATAAATAGCAATAGTTAGAAACACACATACAAACATACAATGTATTTTCTTTGAACAGAGTATTTGGACAGTTCACAAATTTAAACAGTGTTTAGTCATTTCAATTAAATTTACAATTTCTATATTTCCTTTTTGCCATATTTATTCCTCATCTATTTTTTTAAAAAAACCAATATTACCCTTCATCCTCATCTCTAATCTTAATCAAATTCAATTTTCCCTTTTTATTCTATATTATATCCCTTCCCATTGTCATCTATTTTTATATCCATCCTCACATTGGTTAATTATGTAATTATGTAATACAGTTGTTTAATATAAATTCAACATTTTAATATAGATCAATTAGTTACATAACTATCTTTTTTGTATATTAATCAATATGAACATGAATATTCCAATTATTTCCATGCAATCCAATTTCTTACAAATCAATTAATTATATTTACCAATAATAATAAACCAAATAATTTCCCCCATATATTCCTCCAAACCACAACTTAACCATTTCTGCTTTCAACACAATATACAATTAATAGTATCTAAATTATTACAATTCCCTAGTTAAATAGAGCTTTTTTTCTTTTGTGTTTTAAAATCTTGAACTCTCCTCCTTTGCCCTAAATTTCCCATTATTTGCACCTATGTTTTTTGGTGAGGAGAAAGAAAAAGAAATCTCTCTCCCTGCCTCATTTTGTCACGTTGCAGCAGAGCCTGCTTTACTTTGTTTCCTTTTAGCTAGGGAAAAAAAAAATCTGCTTCAGCACTCTTTGCAGCAAGCAAAGAGCTTGCAAAACAAGAGCTTGCAAACGAGCCTGCAAAACAGCTGAGAGCGAATCAGCTGAGAGTCGGAGGCCGATCTAATCATGCTAATTAACCTATGCTGAAGCTGAAAGAGGCTGTTTTTTTCTTGCTGTTTGCTTGCAAGGAGGTAAGTGCTGCGAGGCACAGGTCAAAGGGGGGCCACC